ATTGAATCACATTCAATTTTTCAATCAACTGGTAATAAACAACAAGCTCCAGTTGAATTACAATTAGCTATTTTTTTTGAGAAGAATAGGTTCAAAAGATGAAAATTTTGGTATATGTTTACAATATGGTATTTCAGAAGGTACTGTTTATTTATATTGTAAGAGAGTTATGCTTGCTATTTTTTCATTGAAGCATGAATTAGTTATATGGCCAACAGGGGAATTAAGAAAAATGGTTCATTTAAGATTTAATAATATTGGAGGATTTAATAATGTTATTGATGCTATAGATGATACTCATATAATATTGGGAATTGCTTCATTAAAGCAACCTAAAATATATTGGAATCGTAAAAAAAAATACTCAATTCAATGTCAAGCTATTGTTGATTATTGTGATGTTTTTATTGATTATGAGATAGGATGGCCAGAATCAGTTTATAATGCAAAGTTATATCGAAATTCTTTTTTTTATCAAGATATTTCCACACTTATAAATGGATGAGATTATTTACTTGGAGATTCAGCATATCCATTATTTAATTTTCTTATTAAACCCTTTAATAATCCTGAAAATAATTTACAAACACAATTTAACATTAAATATTCTTTACATTATGTAGTAGTAGAAAATGCTTTTGGAAGATTTAAAAATAGATTTAGTTGTTTAAAAGAATTAAATGTTAGGAAAATTTCATCTGCAGTTCATATAACTGAATGTTGTATAATTTTACATAATTTTTTAGAAACAAATAATGATAGTTAGGATGAATTAGATGATGATGATGATGATGTTAATGATGATGATGGAGAAAATAATAATGATTTAAGAAGAGCAGGTGAATTAAAAAGAATTCAAATAATGAATCAATCACTTTAATAAAATTAAATATTTTTATCATGTTCAAAGTATTATTATTATATTTATTATATTAAATCAATGATATAATAAGCTAAAAACTAAAATTACTAACATTAATTTTTTTGAAATTTCAATTCTAATGCTTTCATTTTTAATTTAAAATCCAATTTTATTCATTCTCTTTCTCTTTCTTTCTTTTGTCTTTCATATGCCCACCTTTCTTTTTTCAATTTCCAATCGTTTCTTTTCTAATTCATGATTTTTACTTAACCTTTCTTGTTCTAATAACATTTTTTTTTCCAAATTCTTTCACGTGTCTGACCTATTTCAGCTATGGCTGTAGCTATAACTTTAACATTATTTTTAGTTTTTTGTTTTTTATAATTTTCCTTTTTAATTTCAGCTACCTCTTCAATAATACCTGTTGATTTATTTACTAAACATAAAGGAGTTATATTTTCATGTGTTCCAAAAATTACATCTAATTTATCATACCAATACCAATCCTTTGCCTTTTCACCAGTTTGGTTATTATGTTTTTTAATTGATTCATACTTCTTTATTAATCTTGCAAGTTTACCTTAAATATAAATAATTAAAAGTTAATAATTTAATATAAATTAAAATAAAAAATAAAGAAAATTTTACCTTTAATTGCATTTGTTTCTTTATTAGAAAGAATATTCTTCGTCATATCATTATAAAATTTAGATTTATTTCCTTTAGACCAAGTTGAAAATTTTTCTTGAAAATAATCAAGTAAAATTTTAATTTCACCATGTTTCTAATTACTTCCAGATTTTTCATCAAGATCTTGATCTTGATTATTACAATCCTTTTCTTTATCTTCATCTTCATCCTAAAATAAATAGCTTTTTTTATGAGTATTTATGATAACTAAAAATCTTAAAATAAAATCTTAATAAACATATACTTACTTATTCGATTTCAAATTGATTAAATTGATCTAAATTTGAATTTTGCTGTTGAGGTAAAGTAAGAGGTAAATTATATAATTGAGGATCATATGGGGTCTTTGCAATAGAAAGGGGGGAAACTACCGGAAAAATCAAAAATGAGTTAATGCTAAATTTGAACATATTTCAGCCTAAAAATCATATTTGGCATATAAAAGTAAAATTGATTTTTCCCAGCAGTTTCCTCCTTTCTATTGCAAAGGCTCATATTGTTGAGGAAAAGCGGCATGTTGTTGAGGAGGAGTGGCATATTGTTGAGGAAGAGTGAAATGTTGTTGAGAAAGAACAGCATATTGTTGAAGAAGAGTGGCATGTTGAGGAAGAGCATTTTGTTGAGAAATTTGCTGTTGTTGCTGTTGAGAAAGTTGTTGGGAAAAAACATTTTGAATTGGTTTAGGCAAGATTACTTGCAGAGTTGTAGTTGAACGTATTTTAATTGTTATTCTTTTCTTTTGAGGTTCATGAGAATTGGTTTTAGTAGTTTTAGTACGTTTAGTTGAAGTTTTTTCGTTATGATTCATATTTAGTTAATTTCTTTCAAAAAAACTAAAAAAACGCGTATTTTACATGTAATTAATGCGATCAAAAAATCTACTTTTTTTTTGTTCGGGAAATTCGGGTCACTGATCGGGTTACACAATTTTATCAGCCAATAATTATCAACTCAAAACCGATCAAAAATCCGAACGATCAGAAATGAACTGGCCTAATATGATCTTAGCATGACACATATATAATCAGTATGTCGTACGAATTAATTGGGCTGTGCAATGCATCATGATTGTTAACCAAATATGGCTTTTATGCATGCATTTTCTCAATCATTGACAGAATCTTGCAGAGAATAATTTACAAGTCCAAAATTTAGTTTTTCACTAAACAATGACTAACTATGAAAATACTCTTTGGAAATGTAGGCTTATTTACTTTCAAGAGAACAAAACATGGAGCCTGTTAGAATTTCTACAGTGGAGTATCGTATATGCAAAAGATTTCAATGAAAAACAAGATGAGCATTTGTTATACAAGATTTGTTTGGAGAAACTTTCTATCAATCCTCAATTAATAGAGACTAATGACAGCAATGAATCCATAATAATAAAACAGTTGGCGTTGCAATGTTTGAAAACATTTGAGGTTTGAAAATTTTCTTAATTTTTTTGTTTATATTTGTTTTATTCCGGGACTATGGCAACGACTGGGATGCGTCTGAGATTCTCTGGATGCGTCTAGAGAAGTGTCTTGTTATAGCTCCGTTATTAATGCTGAAAGTACTAGGATGAGTCTTAATTCCCGGGGGATGAGTCCTCTCAGAGATGCGTCTCTGTGTTCGGGTGTACTTTTACTTCAGATGCGTCTGAAAGTATCACAGCAATCAATTTTTCATTTTTTTTTATACTTTAGAAAGAATCGAAATCGTTCAACGTAAAAGCTTTCTGGAAAAATAGTTCTACTGTTATGAAAACATTAGGAAAAGCATCAGATATGAATTCCAAAAATATAATCCACCAAATGCTAGACATACATTATGATTTCAGTGAAGCGCTTTCTAACACCACACGTGATTTTTATTTCTATCCAGTGCCGTATTGACAGTTTTTATTCCAATAAGAATGACAATGGGTTCTCCAATAAACATGAAAATGTGTCACCTCAACGGAATAGCTTCTCCCGTCATCCAACAATCACACCTAAGGTGCCTAGAAATATGATCCCGGGTGTTAGCATAACTAAAGACACGGTTTTCTAAATTATATGTATGGACATCTACATCCATAGGATCTTTGTTTTATTATATGAAGTAAAAACTTTATTAAAATAAAAAAATAAAATAAAATAAAAATCATATTGCAGTTAAATACTGCAGACGTAAAAAATACATATCGTATTTACATGATGCAAATTATTTCTTTATCAAAAAGTCAGCCAATGATATATAATCTTATCCCACGTGTAACATCATTTATGCAATATACTTATACCTACTGAAGATCGTTTATTTATACATTTATTTAGTAAACATATGGGGAGAAACGAACCATACTTCCCAAAAAGGAAATTTTGAGTAATGCAACTATTATACGTAACTCTTTATTCAGATCATTTTTGGCTTAGAAACAATACCCACTTTGCATAGTAAAATTTTGAGATATTTGTAATTTTCATGTAAAAGATTAGATAACAAACATATGTGCCACAAAAATATTTTTCAATTTTTCTCAAATCTTAAAATAGATTATGGTTCGTTTCTACTGAAAAGCTCCCATATATACCCTTGCAATAAATTAAATATACATAAAAAAAAAAGAAAAAAGAAGTATATGTACAACAAGCCGTTTAATAAGGTTGCAGCGAGTTGTTTGATTGGCAGCAAAAGCATTGGGGGATGTTGTACAATTGAAAAATTTTCACACAGTTGCACAAAAAAATTGAAATAAAAAAATCATGAAAATTTTTATTTATTTACTTTTACATCACTGATCGCGTGCATTGCATCAACAAATATATTTGGCAAACGATACAATTTTTTACAAATCATCGTTATATACATACAATTTTTATTTTCAATTCGTGTATCTTTTCGCAAAAAAAATAAAAACAGAAGAAAAAGGCACACGTTTTGAACAACATGCGATCGATGACTCATAATTAAAAGATGTGCATGTGTGCATTTGTTATTTATTCGATTCCTGCTCGTCATGAATGATGTCCTTGCTCAATTCGAGGTAAGTACGCTCTTTGCCTTTGGCGCTCATGGAAGTAGTATTCGTGGAAAGGAGGGAATGAGGGGGAGGAGAAGAAGAAGGTGTCGATGTCGAAGAAGCGATGGTGGTGAAAGCAGGTGCCGAAATCGTAGATGTTGAAGAAATATTACGTTTTCTTTTTTTTGTTTATTTTTTCAAAACTTTTTCAATCAGCTCCAATTCTTTTTCTTCTTGATCGTTTTTATTCTCACCACTTTGGTTACACGATTTGGTATCACCCGTAACCAAGTTCCGCTCTATCTCTTTTGCTACCAAATGCTTATTCGTTCTGCTAATTTTTAACTTTCCAATGACCGAAATGATCGATTTGATTAGATTATTTTTATTTGCTTGTACCTATTATTTCCGTCTACGTACGTCACGAAAACTTCGGAATCGACACTTTGCTTATTGTCAACGGGCTATATAACTTTCTCCTCAAAACAAAATTTCCACTTCGTTCATTTCCTACAAAATAGTCCTTGTCCGCAGCACCTGTAAATATCACAAGAGGATCTTGACAAGGTAGATCTTCTTCACTTTCAATATTTTTGTTAACCATGACGGTTTGGGTCAACGTAACCTATGGAAAGGAAATTTAGAAGGTCAACAAAAAACTTTCAATTTTTTTTCAAATGTTAAACGGAAAAGTCGTTACATATTCAACTCCTTTTTCCACAACATATCTCCCAACCAGGACAACTATCGCATGTTTTGAAAAGTTCAGTATATTCCCCCTTCGTCATAGAATCCTTTGAAGCTGATCTCCCTAAAAATTCTATCATTTCTATACAACGCGCTCCCACTGATCGTTCTCTTGGTGGAAGTTACGCTTTTAACAAAACAGTTTGCAACAAAAATGGAACACATTGTTGTATTGTTATTATTGTTATTGGTTGGTTGGGTTTGATATCACGGTGAAACAAATTGTCAAATTTTCTTCAATTAATTAATTATGTTGAATTTTAATTTTTTTTTTTTTTTGATAAGAATGATTTTTCTTCCGGTGATTTTTTTTTCTTTCAAAAGATGATTATTATTATTTATTTATTTATTTTTAAGTATCTCAATTTCAAAATAAATGTTCATCTTTATAATGAAATCCGAATCTTCTTCAAAAAAGACAGAACCATAACTAAAAAAAAAAAAGGCCATACTATCATCACTATGACGGGTGGCGTTCAAAATCTCGAAGATCAAAATCCCGAAGGGTCATAATCTCGAAGTCATAATCCCGAATGACCATAATCCCGAAGGGTCAAAATCTCGAATAATCATAATCCCGAATGATCATAATC